TGCATGAGGAACATGTATTTAATCTATTTATTGAGCTTTTAGTAACTACACTTAATGACAAACATTCAAACACACATATAGGCAAACAGATACCCTTGCAGACAAAGAGAAACACATACAGACCCACATGCAGACATACACACACACACACACATACAAACACAGACAGACACACACATACATACAGACATACACACACATACAGACACAGATATACTGATACAGACATTCTCTCACACACGCAAACTGTTTCCTACCTTTTAGGTGCAGGAGGATGACTTCCCTGGGGTCCAGTGGTTGCCTCATGCTGATGGCAATCAGAGCTCCCACTCTGACTCCTTCCTCTTCTCCAAGGCGGTCTCCTCCCGCGGGGCGCTCTGTTAGCAGGGAGGAAGAGACAGCTTTATCCCAACTCTGATGTCATCACTGGGGTCGCACTCTTAAAGAGCTGCAGCGCTGACCAGGCTCCAGGAAATCCATTGCCATTGGGTGGCCCCATGAGCATAGGCCATCTGATAGGCACCCAATGGGCCCCTTCAATGCGGTCGCGGCGGGGCCGAACCACAATGCCGGCGGGCACCAGGAGTGACCCCAGCGACCGTGGTAATTCCTCCAGTGATTGTAAGCTCACTTGAGTAGGACCCTCACTACTTGTGAGTTTGACTTTTTTGTACGTCTTGTGAACCTTTTGTACAACACTGTGTAAAAGTAGGTACGTAGGTACTTTACAAGTATTGATGATAAGAATAACTCCGATATATTACTGGACAGGATGTAAGGATCCAGAGGAGTACTCAAACCATTTCTCATGGTCGTTTTAAAAGCGCTTTGCCTTGCTCCCACTGAACTCCAAAGAATGCGAGGTAATTCTAAATATGAGTTGTGGTGGAAGTAGCTCAAGTATTAGCGAGGTAGGTTTCTTTCTGTATTTAGGTATTAGGTGGGGGTTACTGGAAGAATCACATAAACCCCAGGCTACTCTCATTGAGCACTGACAGCAGGAAGAGAGTTAAAAGCTTACCGCCCTTCAGAAATTGAATATACTAGAGAATATGGTTGGGGTCGTGGGGAACAATGTACCTCAATTTCTATGACAATGAGTGAATTACATTATGCTGGTGTTGCTTTTATCTAAACCAGTTCCTGTCTCCTTGTTTATGCTTATCTGCCAACTTTACCCAGTGAGGATTCGGGGCCCAGGTGCATGGGCAAGGAAAGGAGCAGCTTCAAGAGGTAGATCAGTCAGCCTGGCATAAATGCATGCCAGGCAGAGGGAACTGTCAACAGTGTAAGTGTATCATGAGACATGCCAGTGCTGCGCACAATGGTGTCCAGGTACTAGGACCATGCTTCAGCAACACTGTGTTTGTTCAGCCTTGAGTGACGCCAGCATGGGAGGCTGTCGCTCATCCCTGGATTTGGAACACCAGCAAAACAACACAAGATGGTGGAACAGGAGCCTAAATCCAGCACTGCTGCATGGTGTGTTTTTTGCATCAGTTGTAGCACATCTTAAAAATGTAAAACAACCGGAAATAAGCAGCCAATCAAGTAGTTGATGAATACATGCTGGAAGACAGACAGTGTCTCCTGGTGTGCAAATGTGTTCTTAAAGCTAGTATTATCTATCTATTGTCTTCAGCTATATTCACCAAATCCAGTTACAATGGATTTGCATTAAAACACGCTAGTTTGGAATTAGTGGAATTTTCTTTTTAGTGTTAACACAGCATGTAGACATTTTCATTTGCTCTGCTGATTAATGTAAACTTTTTTTTCTGCTGACGGGCCCACTTTCAAAGATTTAGTCACTGCTGTGCACATGGTGCTTTTAGCTTGTGACATCCTGTAAGGAAAGACCAATTGGGAGGCTCACTTCGCATCATCACTGATCAGTGTACACTGTACACAAAGTCATCTCCAGCTTGTGTAACCCTGAGATTGAAAGGAAAACTCTGTGGCTCAGGGTCACATTAGAGAGTTTCCAGATGTGCTTAGCTTCACTTACTTAATTTACTACTTTCAGTTCTATAGGGCACCTACCATACTCCTTTCAAAGACACTTAAACCTTCTAGCCTGCGCATTCGCACAATCCATGTCTCAGCTGGATGCAGGCCTGGAAATGATTTTAATTAAACCAGTTACCTGCAAATCAAATCGCTCAAGGAATTATGGGATGTATCCACATCACTTGGAGGCAGAGAGGCCGTACGTGCATCCATCCATGGACTCCATATTTGAAGTTTAACCCCTTAAGTACCAAACTTCTGGAATAAAAGGGAATCATGACATGTCACACATGTCAGGTGTCCTTGCCAGAGCTGGAAAGACTAAGAGGGCTATTCACAAACTTGAAAACAAAAAGTGAATTAAAAGTGAATTTTAATTTTAAGGCCAGAGTAGTTGAACTGAAAGCATAGCTGAGTTAGGAAATGTTTCCAGTTCGGCTATTTTGACCTTAAATTTGAAATCCACTTAGAATTCACTATGACTTCTGACTTTAATAAATAACCCTGTCAGATGATAAAAAAAAAAAATCAGAATGAGAATAATTTCTCAACTAGACATTAGCTAGCAATTTGACACATAATATATAGATGAATATTGTAAAGCGCTGTGGAATAAGTTGGCGCTATATAAATGCCAATTATTATAATAATAATAATGAACTTATTCTGCTAAAAAGTGTTGCCAAGTCAAGCTTGACATGACAGGTGCACAATGTCAATTGTCTGCTTCCTTTTGTCTATATTTGACTGACATACATTTAACTAGACTTGAAAATTTGATTTGGCAGAATTCGGTTCTATTGGGTGATCAGCCAAAATTTTGATTTCTAAGCCACCTCGTGCCAGAATCTCAGGGGAACCGACTTGCTTGTTCTAGTAGTAGATTTAGAGAGCTGTTCCTGGCACCAGAAAAAAGGGTGATAGAATGGAGAATAGGCTTTTTTTGTCTTTTCTTTTTGCAGGAAATTAGCAGGTCATGATGAACAAGAGGTCTGCCCAATCACATGCCTGTATCTCCTGTCCAATCAAGAGGTTGCAAAAAACAAGACAGATGATTAATGGTTATGGTACATCCACAAAATGTTGATTTAATTCACAGCTCAAGTGACAAATGACTAATATAGGAAAATAAAAGAGGAGCAGTAAAAGAATCTATACCGGTGATGGCGAACCTTTTTGAGCCCGAGTGCCCAAACCGCAATACATGCCAACCATAGGCACGCACAGCCTATCGCATTAGGGTGTGCACCCTAAAGCACAAACACACACGCCGCGTGTATATGTATATATATATATATATATATTTATACACACACACACACATATACATACATACACTGCTGTGTGTGTGAGGGTGATGTTAGTGTGCTGTGTGTGTGAGCTGTGTGTGTGTGTGTGTGTGTGCTGTGTGTAAGGGCGCTGTGTGTGTGAGGGTGCTGTGTGTGTGTGTGAAAGAGTTCTGGTAGTGTGCTGTGTGTGTGTGCTGTGTGTGTAAGGGTGCTGTGTGTGTGGAGATGCTGTGTGTGAGAGAGTGCTGGTAGTGTGCCATGTGATAGTGCTTGTAGTGGGCTGTGAGGGTGCTGTGTGTGTGTATGATAGGGCTGGTAGTATGCCGTGAGGGTGCTGTGCGTGTGTGAGAGTGCTGTGTGTGTATGTAAGGGTGCTGTGGGTGTTAGGGTGCTGTGTGTGTGAATTTGGTTGAAGGGATTGTGTGTGGGGGTAGGGGGACAGATTAGGAAATAGCCCTCCTCCCTTCTTACCTTTTGCCTGGTAGGGGGGATCATTGCTGCCGTCCCTGATCCCTGGTGGTCCTAGTGTGAGTGAACTCTAGCCTGCAGGGATAGAGGTCACTCTCACAAGATCTGAGCATGCTGCTGGTGGCTAGAGCTCCCCGGGCCCTCTCCTGCCTCCCTCCCTGCCTATAGGCCGGTGAGGGAGATCTTTGATGGAGGCTATCCGAGCGCCGGCTCTGCATGGACCGACAGGGGAGATCCTGTGATTAGGGTGTGCCCAGGCACACCCGGGCACACCCCATGCGCATGCCTATGATGCCAACTTTTTTCCCTAAAAAATACTCCACCTATTGTACAGCGCTATGGAATTTGTTGGCACTTTATAAATCATAATAATAATAATGCTTCTAAGCTGGATTTTTCCATACACTTTGACTGCTATTACTGAGGCAGGCAGACTAGCAGTGATACTGTGTGTGGCTGCAACTTACTGCACAAGTGAACCCTGCGTACACTGAGTGTGGCAGGTCTGTTTTCTTAAAACCTTTAATAGAAAAAAGTATTACAAAAAGTGGTGGTGGTGGTGGTGGAAGTCATCCCCTTGTTTACCCACCAATTAAAATTAAATTTAGCTGATTGGGCACTATTTTTTCCTACACTGAAGGATGGCCACTGAGTCTACAGGCTTGATGTGTCTGAGTGCTTAGTTCTTGTCAGGGTTGAAGGTGTGAGTGGGTGGTCAGTTCCCATTCACTGTTTTCTTTTCATTTTTGGAAGAATCCCCTTTTGTTTTCAAGTTAAAATGAATCCTGCTCATCATTTCTCCTTTTACAAGAAAGAGAAAGAATAATTACAGTCAATCTTTATAAAATGCTCTATTTCCTTTTTTATTTATTTATTTTTTATTTATTTTTATTTTTGCAGTGCGAATGAATATTACAAATAGGCTTGAGGTGCCCCAAAAGCAGTCCTCAGGCTTTTGTTCCCGTTTAACATGTGGAGCATTGAATTAACTAGCACAATTTTATAATGTGTTCAGGCTTGGTTCAGTAAAGCATCAGCAGTAACAGTAGAATTAGTATTCAAACAAGCGGAATCATATATGATAGTAACTGCCAACATTGCTAGTGAATTTCTAGTTTACAGAGGCTTATATGGTTGTGTCGTGATAGCAGGAATATTGTTACTGAGGACATTAGGAGTTAGCTCTGTCATGTCAGGTAAGTGATGAGTGAGGTTTGGGGTTAGAGCTGTAGCCTATGTCAGAATGTTATAACCACTGGGTGTGTTGAAAGAGTGTTGGCAGAGGTCAGTGTGGTTTATCCGGATGGTCACAGCGACATAATGAGTAGGAGAGTTATATGTTAACATTATAGAAACCATGGAGACAGAACGAAAGTCACATCGATTTTTGTGCGCCATTGGTTCTGCAGTGTTACTGTGGAAGTTCGTGGGTTCCTCAGCCAATTCTCGTGATGGTGTAATTCCGTGCGTGTGCTTTCTCCTGCGCTCCGGCACCTGGGACGTGAATCCTATGTTTCTCCCCGCTCCCCTCAGGGCTTCAAGTTGCGCCTCTTCAAGGGCGTTCTGTGGTCGGGATTTAGCTCTGACGCTAAACTGTGGGGTGGACCTCCATATTATGCCACTGTTTGTCGCAGGGGCTGTAGAGTGTGGAGGTATACCATGCCAGTCCCAGGTTCTAGTGTCATGCGAGGTACATGTTTCTTGGGCTAGCCTGACGCTCCATCTCCTGTGATTGTGGGAGCGAGTGTCGGCACCCGTGCCATGCGGCTCCCCCTCCCGCCTCGTTGGTCGTTGGTATCTGCATTGCTGGGCGGTAGTTTTGGGGATTCGAGGTAGGGGCCCATAGTAGCTGCGCCGGGTTACCGGGCGGATCCAGGGGGCCACAGCTTTCACCGCTTGTCTGCGGGTCAGGCCCTGGTTGCAGAGTATCATCCAGAAGCTCTTACAGTGCTGATCAAAAGCCTCCAGGGGCCATGTTGCTGGCTTGGTGTTTGTGTCCATTGCTGTGGTTTGCTGCTGTGTCGCCATCTTGGGCGCGGCTCCTCAGAGTGCAGCGACTCTGTTCCCAGAGAGACTTCGGGTTGCCGGCCAGCGGGGACCGGGATGACCCCCACCGGTGCTCTATTTCCTTTTTTTAAATCCAGATATATAGGCATCGTAACAACTTTAGCTTACTGAAATAGTTTTGGTGTATAGGTCATGCCCATGCAGTCTCACTATTTAATTTTAATTTTAAATTTATAACACTACACAGGAAAATCCCCCATGCCCCCAGGGTCGCCTCCCGGATCGCTGTCACAGTGATCAGGTGGGAGCCGGGTTAGCCCTCAGTGGGATAGGAGGGCAGGGGACCTGAGCCAGGACACGCAGGACCGGCAGTCAAGCAGATCTCCCGCATGGGTGGTCTATAAGGACCGCACTCAAGAAAGGCACATTGGGTCCATGGGGGGTGCTGACACGCACAGGACGCAGGATAGGTCTCGAAGCGGTCACAGTGACGGGGGGGTTCCGCCACGGCAGGGGATAAACCAGGGACCCTTGTCGGGCATGTCGCCAGGTTTCCCTTGTTAGGATGACGGGAGGCAGGCAGAGCAGGTCATCTAGCGGGAGTTCCCCCGGGGGCTACAGCGAGCGGGGAGGGGCTGTCATGGCCCTAGGGGTCAGCATGACTTCGAGCAGGGCAAGGCGTGAGAGCAAACAGGTCAGGAATCAGTCACACGGTCTACCCACTGTGCTTTCTCGTTCCAGGTCACCAAGACGGTCACCCTCGGTCTGGGTGAGACCTTGGGAAGTGGACCTACGACTGGGCTTGGACGTTAAACATAGGGATGCAGCATTCAACGGCCAGAGGTTCAGATGGTGAGTTATCTTCCATTAAAGAGTTTGGGGACCTTTTCGAGGGTCTCAAATCTTTGCTGGAGTCTTGGAGTGGGGGTTCGGGCAGGAGTGCTAGCTTTGGTCAGGTGTTGGCCCCAGGGCAGGAGAGTGCAGGTGCAGAGGCGGTCCTGATGGGTGGTAAACAGGGCACTGGGTCGTGACGGCGGGGGTGTTATCTGAGTTAGTGAGAAAACGGGCTGACCTATTCAGGGGGATTCCGGACACAGCACTTCAAAATGTCCACATTTCCTTTGTGGGGCCGTTGGGTTGTCACCTCAAGCCCGAGGTAAAGGAGCGGATTTGGAAAGGGGAATTCCTCTAAATCTTTTCTCTTCTCCCCCCTTGATGACTATCTGGACATGAAGGAAGAGGATAAAAAGGATGCTAAGAAAGAGGAGGAGGAGAAACGACGCTGCTACCGCAAGATCCCCAAAACGTTTGGGAATTGGTTGCGGGCTTTTTGCATCTTGGCGAGTGTCATGGGGGAAAAAGCCCCAGACCGTTGCTTGCAGTTGTTTTGTTATTTGGACGGTGTTTGGGAAGCGTATCGCACGTATGGAGGCTTGGCGTGGTTGCGGTACAATGAGCAACGTCTGTCGGTCAATCCATGGAGTAGGACCAAATGGACCTGCCGTTGTGGATGAAACTTATGATGGCGCAGAAGGCATCACCCTTTCAGTCCGGGGCCAGCACGGGAACGTCTTCTACCTCGACGGCCATTCACAAAAAAGGGTTATGCTGACTCTTCAACGAAAGCCAGTGCAAGTGGGGGCAACTTGCCGTTACAAGCATGAATGTTTCAGATGCGGTCGATGTTTCAAACGCAGTAGGTCTTCTGCCTCTGGGGAAGCACAGGGAATGCCATGGGCATCCGCTGCCGCTGGGGTTGTCACAGGTAAAAGTCGGCGCGATGTTGCCGTGGCTAAGCAGCTACGGTAATCAGGAGGATGCGGCACTGCTCATAGACAGTTTCACTGAAGGTTTTGTCATTTCTTATCGGGATTGAGTGGTTGTTCGTCACCTCCATAATTTGAAGTTGGTAGGGGAATTTCCTGACATTGTGCAGGACAAGCTTCTTAAGGAAGTGCAGCTGGGGAGGATGGCTGGGCCATTTCCGGAACCCCCATTGCGCAATCTTCGGGTATCACTGTTGGGGGTGGTGTCCAATAAGGAACCTGGTAAGTACCAGCTTATACACCATTTATCGTGTCCGCAGGGTTCATCGGTGAACAATGATATTGACAAGGTCCTTTGCTCGGTGTCGTATGCATCATTCGACCAAGTGGTTAAGTTGGTTCGGCGTGCGGGAAAAGGAGTGTTACTGGCTAAGGCAGATTTGGAAGCAGCCTTACGGCTGTTATCCATTCACCCAGACTGTCACCATCTGCTGGGCTATTTTTTCAAGGGACAGTATTTTGTTGATCTCTGTCTTTCCATGGGGTGTTCCATCTCATGTGCATACTTTGAGAAGTTCAGTAGTTTCCTGGAATGGGTGGTCAAAGTGGGGGCAGGCACCATGCTCGTAGTCCATTACCTTGATGATTTCCTTTGTGTTAGGCCGGTGGGTTCAGAGGGGTGTCGGGTAGGATTAAGGATGCTGGAATGGGTGGCTAGTGTGTTCGGGATTCCACTGGAGGATGATAATATGGTTGGGCCAACTACCTGCCGGTCCTTTCTGGGTTTGGAGATAGATTTGGTCAAGGGTGAGCATCGCTTGCCGGACGATAAGTTGATGGCTCTGGAGAAGGTGCGGGAAGCCAAGAAAGTTACCATAAGGGCTCTTCAATCTTTGGTGGGCCGGCTTCACTTTGCGTGTCGGATTATCCCGGTGGGGCGAGTGTTTAACAGGTTTCTAGCAAAAGCAAGTAGCGGGGTTTCTTGCCCTCATCATTTCATACGGGTGTCGGCATCCATGAAGGATGGAGGACTCATAAAGGCCTATGAAAAAGGTTTGGAAAAACTAGGATGAGGCTATGGTATGTGCAGGTGGTCAGGAATCAGAGCCGGGTGTTTTGACATGTTGTTATGGTTCTTGTTCCGGTTATTCGCTGCGGGGGCTTCCAATCGGCGATCGGGTGGTATATGATGGCGTTGGCCTTCTTGTTTAAACCCAATGGTTGGGTGCATATAACTAAGCATTTCCTGGTACGACAGGCTGTCAAGGGTTTTTTTCGGAGGGGGAGGTTGTCACAGGTTTTGCGCTGACCTATGTCATTTGAAATTCTGCAGGGTTTGCTGGGTGCACTCCTGGGCATGTGTTTTTCAGAGTATGAGGTTTTGCTGTTTTCTGTAGCATTTAGTTGGGCTTTCTTTGGTGCATTCTGAATTAGTGAGTTGGTCAGCAGCAACCGTGCAGACGAGTGGTGTCTATGGTGATTGGAGGTGGAGCTTTGGCATAATCGGGTTGTTATTCACTTAAGTCGGTCCAAGACTGACGTGTTCGGTAAAGGCTCTACAGTTACGCTTTTTGCCGTGCCGGGGTTAGCCGGTTGCCTCGTGTCTTGTCTGTTGGCTTTCAGGGCAGTACGTGCCGAGATCGGTGGGTCTATGTTGTTGCATGTGGATGGTTCTTCGCTATCGAAGTTTCAGTCCCTTAGGGTCTTTATATTGGCTTTGGGGCACATGAGTTTGATTCCGTACACACTCATTCCAGATTATGGCTGTGACGGAGGCAACCAGGCTGGGTCTTGGTCAAAAAGATTGGGAGATGGGAATCATTTCAAGACATATGTGAGGCCCCACCAGTTAGTTTAAGTACAGGTTGGGGGGGGGAGGGTGTTCATGTTCCCTGTTAATATGTTTTTCTTTCATAGGCTAGACCGCTTGGTTGCTGGGACATTCATACATGTAATGGGCATATCAGAGAGCCGCAGTTCGTCTTCACAGCATGCAGCTGGGCTTTCCGCGCTCGTTGGTCCAACTTCTGTGGTTTGGTCTTAGGGTGGCTGGTTGGCAGGGGGTCTGTTCTACACTGTTCAGGTTGATTAATAAAGGTCAGGTGCCTAATGTGGTTTTAATACATGCTGGAGGGAATGACTTGGGGCTGGTTTCTTAGAGAGACTTAATTACCGGGATGAGGAAGGATTTGGAGAGGCTGAGGCAGTTGATCCCTGGCGTGGTTGTCATTTGGTCTGAGATAGTTCCCCGTTTGCAATGGAGTCACGCAGAGGGAAGGTGAATAAATTGTTGGCTACCTATGTTAGACGGTTTGGGGGAGTTTTGGTTCGGAACCGGGAGTTGGAAGCGCAGCTTGCAGGTTATTATAGGCAGGATGGGGTGCATCTTTCAGACGCGGGTATAGATTTCTTGTTAGGATTTTAGGAGGGTTTGCAGCGGGCTTTGTTTTTGGTAGTTTGAGGTGTCGAGCTCGGAGCTGTGGTGGAGGATTGGATAAACAAGTTGGGGTGTAGGTGGTTGGTCCAGATGTAAGATAGTTAGTTTGCTAAGAACTGTAAGGTTTGGGTAGATATTGGTTGGTTCAAGCTCGACGGTAGCTCCAAACCTGGAGTGTGTAGGGTGTATCTTGGTATACATAATCAAAGTAGGATCAGCGCTAATAATGCCACAGAAAATATATAAAATAGTAAAAAGGCAGCACACCTATAAAGGGGTTACCCTCCTATCCACTGAAAATACAAGTCATCATCTGGGACGAAACCACATTACGCTAAAAAGAACACTCCCCATATATCTGTGGACTATTACCTTGGACTTTTTTATCCTAATTTTTATTTTACTGTACTTTTTAGCTATTTCCTTTGTTTTTCTGTATCTTGGTATGCCCCTACATGGTGGAACAGGGAAGAGCTGGGGTTGATATATCATGTTAATATATGTTGACAATGACCTTTAATAATTTATTTGTTTATTTATTAGTAATAAAACTGTACTAATTTTCCCAAAAGAAGGTGCCTGAGTATCCTTAGGGTTTTTTGGGTGGTTAATAACGCATATGCCGAAAAGGTGCCTTACAAATACCTACAAGCAATGTGTTTGACAATTTTTATTTATTTATTTTAGTCACATCTACTGAATGAGAGAATTGTATGGTTTTTTTAAATTAACATTTCAGACCCTGTATACTATCTTAGGTTGTTAATTTTCCAATTTTTTTTTTTTTATAAAGGATGAATGTAAAATGGTAATTGTCA